TTGCAAAGAAAATCTAGAATGCTCTGAAGGATCAATACAAGGATGATGAGAAACTATCTAAGTCTCACCTCATTGATAAGTCTATGGACTTCAAATTCGAAGATGACACTGAGGTTTTGCCTCAAGTTAAAGAACTCGAAAAGCTTGTTATGAAGCTGAAGGATGAAAAGATCAATCTTTATCAAACCTTTATTTCTGGTGCAATTGTCAACAAAATTCCTCCATCTTAGATGTCATTCTCCATGGACATTCGAAGAAGGAAAAGACATGTGATTTTGTCTGATTTGAAGAGATTCATTCGGATCGAGGACGAGATTCGGACTCGCACGAAGGATGAGCTCTTTGCTAAGCAGAAGGCGTCTGCTATCATGGTGGCTGCTAACTCTGAGAAGAGTACTTATTCTTCATCCAAGAAGAAGAAGAAGTCATTTAACAAAAAGAAGAACAAAAACCCGAAAAATCTAAATGTTCAAAAGAAAGATTTTAAGAAGAACGACAAATACTTCAACTGTGGGAAGCAATGACATTTTTCCAAGGACTGCAAAGCACCAAAGAAGGGAACAACACACAATGTTAATCAAGTTAATAATTGTGTGGATATACTCTTCCAAGTGACAACTCCTAACAATGTCTCTGGTTGGTGGTTAGATACAGGTGCTACCATCATGTCTGCTCCAACAGAGATTTGTTCTCTTCCTATGTTACTGCCAAAGAGAACGTATCAATGGATGATCGTTCTGTGGTTCCTGTTCTGGGAGCTGGGACTGTGATGCTTACTCTCTCTTCAGGGAAGACTCTCACATTGAAGGATGTGAAACATGTTCCCTCAATTGTCAAAAACTTTGTCTCTGGAAGCCTATTGTGTGACGCATGTATGAGACTGGATTTCCAAGGAGGAAAGACTGTGTTATCTTTTAAAAAATATATTTTGGCAATGCATATAATAATGATAGCATGTATAAGATCAGTACTATTGTACCCAACTCAGTTATAAATAAAGTATCCTTTTCTGCTTACTCCTCTGTATTATGGCATAATAGGCTGGTACATGTAAATTATAGAAAGCTGACTAGTATGGAGAAATTAGGATTACTTTTAAAATGTGGGGGTAACAAACCTGAGAAGTGTGAACTTTGCGCGCAAGTGAAACTGATAAGGAAGTCCTTCCCAAGTATCACAAGGAGCACCAACTTATTGGATTTGATTCACTCAGATATTTGTGATTTCAAGAGCTTCGTCAATCAAGGCGGCATGAAGTACTTCATCATGTTCATTGATGATCATTCTCGTTTTTACCACGTCTACCTGCTAAAATCTAAAGATGAAGCCTTCAGCAAGTTTATCGAGTTTTTTACTCGTGCGGAGAAGAAGCTTGGACTTCAGGTGAAAAAACTCAGAAGCGACAGAGGAGGAGAGTACCGATCTAAGGAGTCGGAAGCATACTTCAAGTAGCATGGAATCATTGCTGAAACTACGACTCTGTATATATTCTCCGTAATCTAATGAGATTGCAGAAAGAAAGAATCACACATTGACCGAGATGGTAAATTTCATGCTAATCACATCTGGTCTATCTACCTGCTATTAGGAAGAGGCTTTGCTGATGGCAAACTGGATTCTGAACAGAGTATCTTGTTCCAAAACTGATAGTATTCCTCATCAGTTATGGTTGGGACATCCAGATCCTTTGGATAGTCTCAAAGTATGGGGGTGTCTCGTATATGTTCGAGTTCCACATATCAGAAGGCCTAAGCTCGGACCAAAGACAAACAGATGTGTGTTTCTTGGCTTTACCGAAGATAGCGATGTTTGTAGGTTCCTGGACCTTGGAATCAATTCCGTCATTGAAACTCGGAATGCAGAATTTGTTGAGGATAAGTTTATCAAGGATAAATGTTTGTTGTTCAATGATATACCAGAGAATATTGGTACGTCAGATACACCAGAGGAGCCAGCTTTGCGAGAAACTAAAAGTGTCAATGATAAAGGAGTTACTGAACCATCTTCCAAGCGTGTCAGGAGACAGAAAGATTTTAAAGATGACTTCATCACCTATAATGTGAAAGGAGACCCACAGACTTTCCAAGAAGCAATACAATCAACAGACATTCTTCTGTGGCAAGAAGCTATAGACAATGAGATGGATTCATTGATCCAAAATCATACTTAGGAGCTGGTGGGTGTACCTGAAGGTGCAAGGCCTATCAGTTACAAGTAGATCTTCAAGAAGAAGTTTTGTCCTGATGGTACTATTAAGAAATACAAAGCAAGACTGGTGGCATAAAAACTCTCTCATAAATAAGGAATAAATTTCTTTGATATCTATGCACTAGTTCGTAGGATCACTACTATCAGAGTGCTTATCGCATGGGCAGCGATTAAAATGTTTGTTATACATCAGATGGATGTGAAGACTGACTTTCTCAATGGAGATCTCATAGAAGAGATCTACAAGGAAAAACTAGAAGGATTTGATGCTCCAGCTGGTAAAATTTGTAAACATATAAGTCTTTATATGGACTTAAGCAGGCAGCGAAACACTGACATGAGAAGTTCGATAGGGTTGTTCGCAATAGTGGGTATCAAATCAGTGAATCTAACAAGTGCCTATACATCAAGGTCGCTGAAAGAAAGATAGTGGTTATTTGCCTCTATGTGGATGATATGCTCATCATCGAGAGTGATTTGGAGATAGTAATATCTACTAAGAAATTTCTCTCAGCACAGTTCAGCATGAATGACCTTGGAACTACGGACGTGATTCTCGGAATCAAAATCATATACTCTGAAGAGGGCATTGAATTGTCTCAATCTCATTATGTCAAGAGCATGCTAAGAAAGTATGGCTACTACCACCTGTCAGAATTGTCAGTGCTGTATGATTACAACAAGAATCTTCGACCGAATACTGAAAAATCAGTAGAGCAGCTAAGGTACTCAAAGATAATTAGGAGTCTTATGTATGCGATGAGCTACACAAGACCAGACATAGCATTCGCTGTAGGAATGCTTAGTAGGTTCACAAGTAAACTTGGAAAGCTTCATTGGGATACTTTCCAGAGATTGATGAGATACTTGAAAGGAACTATAGGTCTGGGCTTGTTCTACACTGGATATCCGGCTGTAATCGAAGGTTATTCAGATGAGAGCTGGTGCTCAGAACCAGATGAGTGCAGATCTACTGAAGGTTTTGTCTTCACAATGGGTGGAACTGTCGTCTCGTGGAAGTCTAAGAAGCAAACTATGATTGCACGGTCATCGATGGAATCTGAGTTCTTCGCACTCTATGGTGTGAGAGATGAAGCTGAGTGGCTCAGTTGTTTTCTCCGAGACCTTCTATTGACAGAATTGCAATGCGTAATTACTATCTATTGTGATAATCAGGTGACGAGTGTTGTGGCATCGAACCCGATATTCAATGGAAAGAAGCGGACCATTCGTCTGAAGCATGGCTATTTGAGCGAACTCATTTGCCAAGGAGTTATCTCTGTGATTGACGTCCGGTCTTCAAAAAATGTGGTTGATCCTTTAACTTAAGGTTTGAAAAATGACATAGTCGAAGTGTTTTGTTTTAATTAACCCCTCATAAGTTCTAGTGGGTCGTGGGCCGTGGGTTCGTGGGTCGTGGGTTCGTGGGCCATGAGCTATGGGCCAATGGGCCGGGGATCAGGGCTAATCGGACTAAGGCGGTAAGTGACGCTTTGTTAAACGCACTTTGTACATTGGCCGCCACGAAGGTCGCTACGAAGGTTGCCTCGCAGGCTGCTTCACAGCATGCGGACGAGCTACGCATTCGAACGATGGTGTGTGACCCTAGCATTCTCGAGATCAGACGACACTCCTCTATTTGACGAGGTTTGTTAATTGGTTGACAAGGTTCACCTGTTCGACGAGGTTCGCCCGTTTGACAAGGTTCATCAATTGGTTAACGAGGTTCGTCCATTTGACGAGGTTCGTCCATTTGACGAGGTTTGTCAATTGGTTGACGTGGTTCACCTGTTCGACGAGGTTCGCCCGTTTGACGAGGTTCGTCAATTGGTTGACGAGGTTCACCTATTCGACGAGGTTCGCCCGTTTGATGAGGTTCGTCAATTGGTTGACGAGGTTCACCTATTCGACGAGGTTCGCCCGTTTAACGAGGTTCGCCCGTTCAACGAGGTTCATCCTATTGACGTTCGCCCGTTTGATGAGGTTCGTCCGTTCGACGAGGTTCGTCCTATTGACGTTCGCCCGTTCAACGAGGTTCGTCCTATTGACGATGTCCGTCTGATTTGCTGAGTCACGACCCTCGCGTCGCCAAGTAACGTGTCCATTGATTGTCTCGCCTTCAGGCGTTACTGCATGCAGCAGTTACAACAATATTTAAATCAATTGATGTTACAATCATAATTGTCGTTATGATTTGTAACTTTCACATTTATTGTAGGTGACTCTTGAGCTAGCCTTAGAGGCCTATAAATTGCACCCCTTGAGATAGCTCTTTGAGACACGAACGTGAGAGCTCTTGTACACACAAAATATATTGAATTGTTGTGCTGCTATACAGAAACTGTGCTCAAAGGAATTTTCCCTGAAACCGAAAAGTTTTGAACCAAAAGGTTCTAAGATCGAGGAAATCTTTGTCTTAACTGAAAGGTCTTATAGATCAAGGAGATCTTGACAATACTGGGTTGGTACACACCAAGTATTATATTGTTGTTCCTGGAAGCAGTTTGGCCTCGAGATCCTTACATCGGAATAGGGCAAATATTGCTTTAAGCACAGCGTTTCACAAACGCACAGTAATTAATTTTAAAAAGTTTAAAATTACAACACATCAACTTTCACTGTTTCATTCCAGATTTAACCACAATCTCCAACACATGTAAATATAGTAAGAAGAAAAAAGATTCAACATCTGATTATAATAGTTATTCCCAACCTCGTCATCAATTATAAGTCAGTAACATAGCTGTTCAAAGATGAGCATCAGGCAAAGAAATTCCTCAGAAGAATAAACGTAGGAAAGAGGGACTTTTTAGCGGAACCACATAAATTAATTTATAGAAGTATAATTGAATTTTCTTACAATTTGGGAAAACAATAGATCAATAAACTTATGAAAACAAATGAATTAGCAGCAAATGCCTCTGCATAACCAAAATTTTCCAACTTGGGAACAGAAATTAGACGTGAAAAGTTGATGTAATATGAACAAAGGAAGCAAAGAAAAAAAGATCAATATTTACAGCGACACAAAGCTGAGAGTTGAGAGCTCCATATCTTAGTCAGATTGCAAGAAGCTTTTGAACTTTGTTCCATTGAGAGCATTTGAGACAGCATCCCAGTTCTCAACCTGTTCAGATAACGGCCTTGTGTGAATCTTCACATGACGAGTCTTTAGCTCTCTCTGAGGTAACCTTAGGAACTCAAGAACATCCATCAGTTTCTGTGAGAAAAACAAGCAAAGCACAAGAATAAGGCAAAGGCCGGTCCTAAGAAGTTTAAGATAAAGCCAAATCTTTGTTAATTCTATATTAGACCTCCCAAATTTTCAGATTTTGAAATTAGACTTCCGAATCCGTTAGTTGTTTTAAATAAGACCTGCAAAACTATTAAGTTCTTTTAAATAAGACCCTCAAATCTATTAAGTTGTTTTAAATAAGAACCCATTACAAACAAATATGAAGTTTTGAGGGTTTAATTCAGAAATATGAAGATTTTTGGGCCCAATATAAAATTAACAAAGATTTGGGGGTCTAATATGACAAAAAACCAAAAAAATGCTTTTATGCAAGAAATTAGTTGGTAAGCAAAAACAATAAACCGGTTTTAGATCTCTCAATTATAAGCATATATTTAAACTAGACCACCATTGCAATCAATCACAAGACATAACTCGCCATGAAATCACTAACAAAATGTCCTATATTGGCCTTGCGCCCTTGTAAACTTTTTTTTCCCTCCCAATTTAGATCTCTTAGTTTCTAACGGACGAGATCACAGTCGATTTATGATCTTTCTCATACAAAATACTGCATAATTCTAATGGGAAAACACATAAAAATGAGACCTTCATACTAGAAATCGTTGAGCCTTACAGTGCTATTGTGAACAAGATCCTCATAGTAGAGAACAATATGGCGGGTGCTCTTGAAGTATTTCAAGGCATCCACAATCCACTTGTCAGCTTGATTCAAAGTTGGGAGTAGTAGAGACTCGTTAATTTTTGGCTTATATCTTGCTAGGACATCAGCCTGCGTGACACCAATATCACCATAAAAATACATATTGACAATGACCGAGATAATTATGAAGAAAGAACAATACGTCGCCATAAAAATACATATTGACAATGACCGAGATAATTATGAAGAAAGAACAATACGTCGTTTTTGGAGTGAACGTGAGCTTTGTGGGTCCCGTTCAGTTGCTTTGCATCTCGGTCATGGTTATTTGCAAGTATGGAAACCCAGCGACGAAGGAGATTCCTTCTGAAGAGGAGTATTGCAGAGACCCCTCTCCGATTGAAGTATGAAACTATTTCATCATGGTTCACCAGGAGACCCTGCAATATCCATGAGAATAACTAATGTAAATGGTACAGGAGAAGTGCAGAAGCAGCATAAAAACAAGTTTAGACACTGGGAGTTCTCGTCGTGCCTTAACAAAGGTGGCATCAGTGATGAATGAAATACTATGTTATGAGTTATGTAAGAAAAAATTTAAGATTAATTTGACAATGTGATTGGTTTGTTGATATTTGACAATGTGACTGGTCTATAGAAATGATGCAACCTCAAAGAAAATAATAATAATAATAATAAGGCTAGCGCCAAAAAAAGGGTATAAGACCATAGGATAATGAGGATCTTGTGTTATGATATTGCATACTTTGATGGAAAAGAATTGAAATTTTCAACAGTCAATTATAAAAAACTTGGTAATGTTCCCACAACCTGCTCTACTGAGGGGTATGCAATGTAGCTACCCATGATGATTTCTGAGACAAAAACTTTGGGAACTTTCAGAAACAAGTTGCAAGGTTATGAGAAATACCTACTTTGATTTTGGATTTAAAGTGGAACTGTTCCAACAGAATTCAGTAGTTCACATTCGAAGAATTTGTAAAGGTAATAGATCACATCTAGAATTACAGTGGCTAGTAAAGGATTTCAAAATCTCAATCTAAAGGGATTGGGAGAGTCAACAAACACACAACATTGATATCTCTAGTGTGTGTTTAGCCTTTTGCCCAAAAAAAAGCCATATCAACGTAGTTAAAACCACATATCATGATGCCTTACTATCTTTCCTTTTTCATGTCAATTATTAACCCATCCAAATTTTCCCCCATGAAAATTACTGGCTATTTTACAAATGAGAATGATAAAAAATTCTAATAAAATCAAATTTCTGATGCAAAAAAAACTTTTGGCCATCTTTTCTTCATTTGTTTCTTTTGATTTTCCAACAAAAGTTGCCCTGCGTCAAAGATCTCCTCCAGTTGGAGAAAACTTGAACTTGGGTCTGAATTGGATAGCCTAAAAAACTTTGATTCACTACAATATACTGCTGTGGAATGTAATTTTGCATTGTTAAAGAGATCATTATAGATAAAAGTAAAAGTGTAGAAAATATTAAAATTTGGAATGATGTCAATATTGGTGTCATGATAGTGGATATCTTTGGCTCTAGTACCAAATAATGGGAGACAGAGGCAGGAATGATGAATGGCAACTGGAATCAAGAAGGAACAAAACTAGATCTAGGGTCTTGGAATCACTCCTACAATACAACATCTCGATTGAAGTTTGACCTCACGTCTGGATCAACGGCTTCACGTTACGCCAATTAAGGTCTCAGATGTTCAAAGACTAGGTTTTCACCAGGATTGCATCACACAACCCAAGGAAATGCAATTTTTGCATAAACATCTTTGTGAGTTTATTAAGAAAAACTAGTCTTAACAGACTTATCATATGAAATATGATTACCAAGAAACTAACCCCTAAAAAAGAATTTTAATAATACTGCTAAAAACTCATTAAATAATTAAGTTTTGAAAAGATTTCACCAATTAAAATTCCTAACCAATAAGCCTACTTTAGATGAGGCTACAAGAAAACTTCTAGTAAAATCAAATGTCTAGGGAACGTTTGGATACCATAGTATTTTAGGTGTTTCCATGGTGTTTTTCCCAAAAACAGAACATCATTAGTTTGGAAACCATTGTAGTTTTGTTGGGCTACAGCATCCTAAACCAAAAACACCATACTTATTTCAAAACGCCAAAAAGGCATTTTGAGGTTAAACGGTGTTAATATAATATCTAATACAGTGTATAAATAATATAATATAATATTATATAATATTATTTAATACATTACATTGTAATATATTATATTATATTATAGTTTCTTAACATATGAATATGATGTTTAATACTATTAATTAGAATTACATATTATATTATAATATAATAATAATAATATTTTGAATACTATTATCTATATTATATCAATTAATACTATCCTTCACTTCTTAACACGTGCTAGCATAAAGGGTGATAGACCAAATATGTGCACCATTCATAGCTCATATGATGAAGAATCAGCTGCTAGATATGATGAAATAGATGTAAACAGTTAATGATGTGGGTCTGCCCCAAAATTTAAAGGTGTGAAACCAAGAAATTGCTTCCAAAGCTTTAAAATAAGCAAGTTAATTTGCTAGTGATTTATGTCCACATGCTCGCTCAAGTTGGATAGAGCTAACTTCTAAAAGAGGAGCTCAGAAGGAGGTGAAAACAGTTACATCGCAAGACAGGTCTCATTTCTTAAGGTGGTCAATGAAAAGAAACCTATATTGACTCTAAAAGGAATGATATTTGATAAAAAAAACTCATGAAATCCTTGAAGAGTCATGTAACATGGAAGTAAATTGTTTGGATACAGTAAGAAGGGCAACCTGTCGAGATCAATGCCATTGGTTTATATGTCATATGTCTGGTCACACTTGCGATCTATTTATCATTGAAGAAAGAAAGAAGAATAGAGAAGGGGATAAGTGATTTCTCTCATCTATGGAACCTGTTGTTTTCACCTTTCTCTAATGAAATATGAAAATAATAAAAATCCAATTTCAAACCGTTGTAACAATCTCCCAGTGTCACTTCTCGATTATCACAAAAAATGTCACGACCCCTCGACCTATTTATCTTTTATGTTTTATTGCCTCATTATACCCTAACCATAAAACATCAATAAAAAATTCCAAAATGAATGTCCCATCAATTTTCCACTTGGGAGGGCAGATCCAGGATTTCTTAAAAGTAGTGACACAACATATTTAATAATTAAAAAAATTTACAATTTTCCCCCATGAGTTTTTATCTTTCGAAAAAAAGTACATGATCACATCATTAATATCACTATCAAATACATCTTATTGGTATGTTTGGTACCAAGCACAAAAAGTTATGTTTGGTAGTAAGGTGTCACATCCCCCTCTACTCATTCAAATGGTTACATATGCTCATGCACTCGTCAACTCATGTAAATGTGGTCCCCCATTTGAATGAGTGGAGGAGATCATGTCACCTCAATACCAAGCACAAAATTTGTGCTTGGTACCAAACATACCCATTTCTCTCTCTATATATATATATATATATAGAGAGAGAGAGACAGAGAGAAATTGGTATGTTTGGTACCAAGCATAAAAAGTTATACTTGGTAGTGAGGTATCACATCCCCCTCCACTCATTCAAATGGTTGTATATTCTCATGCACTCCTCAACCCATGTGAATGTGATCCCCCATTTGAATGAATGGACGGAGTGTCACCGTCACCGGGACCAACTAAATTTGTGTTTTGTACAACAATACCCATATAATAATATAAATATATATATATATATAGTAATATATAATATATATAATATTATAAATATAATGAGAAAAATGGGAAACTGGTAAACAACTTGGTAGTGATGTGGCCTAATCTTGTCCTAAATCTACATGGAGTTGTGAATATGTGAGGGCCTCTATCTCGAGGGGATGTAGGAGATTAGCCACATCCACTACCAAGTTGTTTTTAAGCAACTGGTACAATGATGTTTCCCCATTTCTCTCTCTCTCTCTCTCTCTCTCATCTCTTCTCTCTATCAGTCCTCTCTCTCTGTCTCTCTCTAAATATATATATATATATATATATATATTATATATATATAATAGTATTTATATATATAATATATAACATGGATCTCAGTTCCGAACTTGAATTTAGGGGTGAGTTTTTGGGTTCGTAAATTTCAGAAAACCCTATTAAGTTTGGGCGTGTCTCAGTTAATCCCCTTAACTTTGAAATTGTCACAAAATGCAACTTAACTTTTAGGGTTCTCAGAAAACTTCCCTTCAAAAATCAAGTAATCAACATCACTCAAAGAAAACCATTGCTAGCATTAACCATAATTCTCACGTATTAAAAATTACTCAAGGAGATTTTTTATAGTGATAATTGTGCTTCATATTTTTAGGGGGTTTCTTGGAGAATTGAAAGTTGAAGGAGATTTTCTGAGAACTAAAAAACATAAGAGAGCTTTGTAACATTTTAGAAGGTAAGGGGAGTTATTTGAGAAACTAACAAAACTAAGAAACTCCCAAATTAAGAGGGTTTTTGTAAACTTACCCTTTTAATCGGCTAGGATCACATGAGAATTTAAAATTTTGGGTTTGCTTCCATCAAAGTGGGTCATCTAAACTGAAGTGGGGTGAGTTTCCTAAAAAGGTGAATTTTTAATAGGGGAAGTGGATTCCTGCCTTCTTGTTACACCTTGATCTAACTAGCGTCACGTGACACCAGTTTGGTCAAGACGGATCCGTCCTTGTTTGGGATTAACTGTTGCAACTAATCCTAATTCCTCCATCATTCCTGTGTCTTTTTGTTATTCCTCTGAGGCATACCTATGTTTAATAGAAATCAATTCCCATAAGCTTTTAACCAAGATCCAAAATCTTGTGTTGCTTCAAGAACACGTGTCTTTGTAGAGTTTGTTACTACACCAAAACATTAAAGTTGTGGTGAGTCCCTGAGGATTATGGGTTATACGTTAACATGGCCCTATACATTGAGCGCCTTTTTCATGGTCGAAACCTACTCATGCAACATTATAAATTTTTTAAAAACTCGCTTTAAATTCGTGATTTGTGGAAACTACACCTAGATTGCTCAGATACTACACCAAAAGAACCTGCTACAATAGTAAAACTTCGAAGTTGTGGTGAGAGTTGTAGGTTATAACTTTATAATTAAAACAGTGTTCCAACAGTCTCGGCAACCTCTGTCGTACTCTAGGTTATAACTTTATAATTAAAACAGTGTTCCAACAGTCTCGGTAATCTCTGTCGTACTCTCATTTCCCTACTGACAACTTCAACAAAATAAATAACTGGATTTTCTAAAATACAGTAAATATTCTTAGAATAACATTTTAAAAATTGATCAAGTTTTTTTAGGTTTGCATGAAATCTTGTATTGGAATATCTAATGCAATTATGCAATAGCCTAGAAAGATATGAGAGTTTTAATTAACAATCTTACTTTGATCTATATCCTTCTAATTGATTTTATTACAAGTGAATTGACAAAATAAAAAGATAACTCTTCTTCCTTGTAGTGTATCTGAGAAGGTCCATGTAAAAAAAAACCAAGTTAACCAACTTCCTCAAATGCAATGAACACTCCAGTTCTCTCTGAACACTAATCTGAGAATAAAATAAATAGATTGTCGAAGGAGGATGAACACGTGAAATAAGAAAAACGTCTAATTTAATAAATCTAATAAGATAGTTTAACCTATTTAGTTGTTTCCCTTTGCTTGCTGCATTCACAAGCTTATGTCTGTCCATTGTGAATTCATTTGGTAGTGGATGACTTGTTAATTAAGCTGCAATTTCAACCCAATTCTGCTAAGTTGTAGGATTTCTGTTGACTAGATTTTCGCAAGAATTTCTAAATTCAGAACACAAAATGCAATAAAGTTTTCAGATCTGTCAAGAATAAGATAAAAGAATAAAGGCAGGGAAACTCCCTCCATGGATAAAAGATCTATTAATTGCTGAATTTATACATTTAATGTTTATCGCAAATAGCTAAATGAACCTAACTGGCAAAAATATGCCCCTGCATATTTATTGTTCAACCAAAACATTTTTTCTTATTTCTTTTTGAATTCATATCCATGCAATCCATTCTCATCATTTATACGATTTTGGTTTTGCTCAAGAAAATCGGATCCGAATATCCGATTATTATAAATTGGAAAGGGGTTTTTTGAGTTACTTATCGTTCCCGCAACAATTCCCAAAAGGCCATGTGATTTGTACTTATAATATGAAAATAGAGCAACCATCATAACTGTCAAATTTTATTGTATTTTCTCCTTGGCACTTTCTAAGTCAATCCTCCTATTGTATCCGTTAGGTGGTTGGCATAGTGAGAGACCTATATATATTTTATTTTGACGTGTTTTATATTCTTATTAGTTTCAAAGAGGTAATGCTTCTTGACACATTGAGAAGACAGTTAGCAGAAACTAATATTCTGAGCATAATTTAGATTTGTGTGATTATATCCATATTGCATCCAATTGTTTTTTATATTTGAACTAAATCTGGACCCAAGGACAGATCCACCATAGCGATAGTGGGGTCATCTGACCCTGCTGATCCTTGAATATTTTGATTTAGTAATAGCTAAAAGTTTTCTAAATTTTTTGATTTACTACAACTAAAATTGTTTTGCCCCTGTAAGCAATCTCATCTATTCAACTTGTCATGTCATCCACAAATCTCAGTGTCAGACTACAACCCAAAATTGAAAGGCCGAGGCCGTTGCATCTTCAATTCTTCTCCTCGCGATCACGGCTGAACCCAAAATTTCTCCTCGTAAAGCCACCTTGTTTGTACATATTTATGTGCATTTGTTGTCATTAATATTTAGGTAAAAGTATCATGTACTTATGCTTGCGGTTTCGCCCCTAATGATTAAACTTTCTGGATCCGCCCCTGTTACTATTTGTTTCCTTATATATGATTTGTATCTTTTATGCTTGTGATAGATATGTATATGATTTTATTTACCAAAGTATATCTAAATCTTTATTTGGTAATCGGATAAGGATATGGTATAACTGAATTTGGATTTGGTAAACGGATACGGATATGGTAAGTATCATATTCAATATGTATCAATCCATTTGCACCCCCAGGTATGAGGTTGAGAACAATTGCAAGGAAGAGATATCTAATTTTTATCACTATATGTTTGCATCAAAGATTCAAATTAGCTCCCAACTCATTTCACTAGCTACAAAAAACTTAGCACATTTAAAATGAGTTCTCGTGGATCATGCTTTCTCAGTTGACTATAAAAAGGAATGGCTTACGAAATGGAAAGGGGAGAGAATCTTTTTGCTAAACAGTTATAGGTACAGATTCAAATATACTCCAATAAATAAATTCATAGATGTAGCCGTCACAATCTCGAATATGAGAGAAACGGATACAGATATAGTTCAAATATAAATAACAAACATATACAATACAGATATATATTACCTTTGAGAAAACAAAAAATAAAAATAGAAAAAGCAACACGAAATCAATATACAGGTCCTTCACTAGGTCAGCCACCTAACGGATACAATAGAAGGATAAGTGCTAAGCAAAAAATGTAATAAAACAAAGATGTATTGAGTGTAATGGCGGATACTCCATCTTCAAGATCACATGTCAATCTATATATACTTTCTTCACTAGGCCAGTCACCCAAAAATTCCATTTTATTAGTACAGGTCCATGGCTTTTGTGAGAATTGTTGCAGGATAAGTAACTAGAAAACTCATTCAAGATCTCAGAATACCCACATATCCGAATTCTGATCCGGTTTTCTTATACAAAACCGAATCTATATCCATATCCGCTTTTAAAATGTAAAGGATATCCGAATTTGGATCCAATCAGATTGGGATTTCAATATCTGAATCCATTACAGATTTGCATAAGAATGTGAATCGGTTCAGATATATCCTAACTGTTTTGCATCCCTAATCATTCCTCATCATGCTTATTGCTTATCCTTGGTTAAACAATACTATTACACGTGTCCTTTCTTGGAACTTGCCGCATTATTTCCCCAAAACCACTGTCACAAACTTTTTCTCAAAACAAATGAAACAATAAGTAAAATCTCTGGCATCAAAACCATAAATGAAAAGGAACACCAGTAAATATTAAATGATCGTTGGTATCATCTCTCATATTAATGTATCTTTGCTCATTTATGAAAAATTTACAACAACCTAACTAAGTATGATAGCACCGATAATGCCAGTAAGTTCTCTCAACATCAGTTTCAACAATAAAAACAAGTTTTTTTGCAAGACTTTATAGAAATAACAATAATGCATGAAACAGCAAACAAAAATCACCATAGTCATTACACACCATTTACAATTCTATACGTTATTTGTATTTTATCTGACTGAAACTGACAGTTTTTTTAATTTAAATTTTCCAAACTAAGTACATTGAAACCTCCAATGCTGATATGTTTCTACCGTATAGGTCAAAGACATGCATCACTGTTTGTAATTGTTTATTACTACTCTACACATGAAAATATTTGCTGTAACTAGGGAAACATTCAGAGTTTAAATGAACTTCATAAATTACCCGGAAGGCATAAGCTTAAAATAGGAGTCAGAAAACAGAATAACGTTAACTGCCTCAACATAAACTTAGACTCTACATGTCGTGAGAAGATAAGTGTACAGTATTTGTAGATTAGATACATGACCAAGCTACTCAATTTTCACATTAAATGTAATGTACCATCAGCTAAATGACTTTGTTAGAGGTCCCTCCCACCCCACTAAAACTTCAAAGTTAGATTGAGGGTTGTAGTTTTATATTCTTACATGCCACGCAGGTTGAGCGAACTTCTCATGGACCAAAACCTAGACTCACATAGCAAAATCTTTTTAAAACCCAATTTAAATGTGCCCGGTGGGATTTAAATCTGAGTTGCTTAGATACCAAGTTAAAGATCCCTTTCTATACCAAAACTCCGAAGTTATGGTGTGGGTTCAGGGTTATAGTTTTACACTCTACCAAACGTAAAGCTATAATATGAGCCATATAAACTTACTTGGTTCAGCATCCATTTGAAGCCAACAGCAGAAGTGCACTCATTTTTAGCAGCACTACTCCACCAATCAAGGTTGTACACCTTATCCATTGTCTCTGTAATGTTTGGCATATTACTTCTCCTGGTTTTGTTCGAGAAAATCTCCCCATTGGAGCTAACATTAATATGACTGTTCAGTAAAGTCTCAAACCACCCACTTCCAGACCTTTGCATCGATAAAATCGCAAAGAACCTAACTGGTGTGCATCTGCATTCATTTCTACAAGTACAAAAGGATTTATTTCTCTCAGGAAAGGTACAATGACAGGTATTAGACACAAACTTTACAAAAAAACATATGCATTCAAACAATTTTACATGATAGGATTTTTACCTTTTGTAAGTAGTCGGTTCTGGATAGTGAACATATGGTACCTCAGACTGTGGGATGTTTGGATTAGGACATTGCTCTTGTACTTGCCTAATCTTCATTGAATAGGGATTAATGATAAACCCTTTTTGCTTTAAGCATATGGAACATATATAAAGTCCACAAACCATTAACAATGATAACACGATCATAGCCGATACAAGCGGGTTCTTCTTCTGAGGCTTTATGATGAGAGCATCCTGCATGTGATTTGTTGCATAATTTCAGACATTTAAGGATGTAATGGACATACATATACAAGTACAACGGCAAACTCTCACACAGATCAGTAACATTAATGAAATTTAAGGGGATGCATAAGACTCCATACTTGTATTTATTTCCTCTACTATACATCTCAGAACAAAATATACATGGAAACCAACAATCAGGAACAAGTCATTCAATAAAACAGGGAAATGCATGAACATGGGCTCTCATCATTCCAACATAAAACAAAGGCTAAAGGGAGAAGGGGAAAAAAGTCATTTCTATTAGTTACCAATATCTAGATCATTACATCCACAGCTAAAGCCAAGAACCCAAACTCAAACGAATCAAACCAAGAATGAAAAATACCACAAATTGAACAATACCCAGATCGTTATCCAACTCAAAGAGGGCAACAATGAATTAAATCAATAAAATAGTAGACTTATAAAACAAAATCAGAAACAAAAAAGAACCCAACTTTTCACCCCATTTAGGTATTCTTTGAACATGGAAACGAATGAAAAAGCACAAAAAAATAGAAAAATAAACAGTAAAAGTGGGTTACCTTATTAGGAATAAACTCAGGAATTTTCTGCATTTTTGCCTCATACAGAAGAAAGATGCGGTCTTTGGCTCAAATCACCAGCTCTCTCTCAAAACTGATTCAAACCCAATTCAAATTATGAGCTTCTTGTCGTTGATGTCAAAGACTCAGAGAAATTGCAAGTGGGCAATCACCATTAGTGCCCCTCCAGCTCCCGCTCTGCTCCCATAACCTTTTTCCTGTCCTTTTTTTATTTTATCTCTTATTTTCAGTGAAAAATAAAATTTGTATTTAAAAAAAAAGAAAATACTCTTTCTCTCTTTCTCTGTGCTTTTTGGACGCGTATCGATAGCTATATTTTGAAACTTTTTCGGAAGAGAGAGAAGAAAGTGAGAGAGAGAGAGAGAGGGGAAGAAGCAATTTATTATTTGCTTATAAATTTATAAGTGTTTTCTTTTTTGCTGAAGTCCTTAACTTTAACAATATTTGCAGTAGTGACCCTTTTCCTATCAATCCTGGCTTGCGTTTTTTATCATGTACCACCCGAACAAATTATTTCTTCTGTTTTATATTAGACTTTAAAATCTTTGTATTTCAATTTTGTACCCCTAAATTTATTGAGTTTTTAAATAGCACCCAAATCCGCACATTATTGGTACCATAGCATGACTGAACTTATGGAATTGATGGGCCTGAGAGCGCTGCGTAGAAATATGAAGATTTGGGATCTAATATAAAATTGAGAAAGAGATTAGAATCCAATGGAATAAACTCTATTTTTAAAGGGTGTGTAGTAAATTTTACTTTCTGATCTTAATATACAAACAAGAGAGAATATAAGGTCTAATATGATAAAAATCTTACTGTTTGGCAGTTCGGATATACACCCATGACGTGATGGGGGCAATGAATTGGAGCGGAGTCTTCATATTTATTCTCTTGTTAATAAATATGAAAAATTGTGTTAATGTCCCAAAAGTAAAATCTTAATATGTTACGGTCCTTTTGACTTTTTCTTATGTAGTTCGGCCCTTAAAATAGAGATATATGTTCAGCAGCTCTTCTTTAGCAATTATTACATGTTAACTAAGCATAGAGAGAGAATAAAAAATAAAAAACCCAAAATGTCATTATCTCCTCTGTTCTTTCATGTTAAGTCTAAAAGCAGGTTGAATTAAACTTAACATGAAAGTCTAATTTTATGTTAAGCTCAATTTAATTCATGTTAAGACTAATTTAATTCGTGTTAAGGTTAATTCAACTTAATTTAAGTCTAATTTTATGTTAAGTCTAATTTGATTCATATTAAGTCTAATTTAATTCCTTTAAAGTCTAATTTAAATCATGTTATGTCTAATTCAACTTGTTTTAAGTCTAATTTAATTGGATTTAATATGAAACCAGACTTAAAAAAAGTTGAATTAGACTTAACATGATTTAAATTAGACTTAAAAGGAATTTAATATGATTAAAATTAGACCTAACATGAATTGTTATTAGACTTAACATGAACTGAATTTAGACTTACCATAAATTAAGTTGGTCTTAACATGAAATTAGACCTAACATGAAGTGATATTAGACTTAACATGAACTGAATTTAGACTTAACATGAACTGAAATTAGACTTAACACGAATTAAGTTGGACTTAACATGAAATTAGATCCTAACATGGATTGTTATTAGACTTAACATGAATTAAAATTAGATATAACACGAATCAAGTTAGACTTAACATGAAATTAGACTTAACATAAACTGATATTAGACTTAACATGAACTGAATTTAGACTTAACATGAACTAAAATTAGACTTAACACGAGTCAAGTTAGACTTAACATGAAATTAGACCTAATATGAACTGTTATTAGACTTAACATGAACTGAATTTAGACTTAACATGAACTGCTACTAGACTTAACATGAACTGAATTTAGATTTAACATGAACTGAAAATTAGACTTAACACCAATCAAGTTGGACTTAACATGAAACTAGACTTACATGAACTATTATTAGACTTAACATGAACTGAATTTAGACTCAACATGAATCAAGTTGGACTTAACATGAAATTAGACTTAACATGAACTGTTATTAGACTTAACATGAACTGAATTTAGACTTAACATGAACTAAAATTAGACTTAACACGAATCGAGTTGGACTTAACATGAAATTAGACTTAAAATGAATTAAATTAGATTTAACAAGAATCAAATTGTCCTTAACATAAAGTAAAATTTGACTTAAAATGAAATTAGACTTAAAATAAGTTGAAATAGACTTAACATGATTCATGTTAAGGGATGTTTGGTTGGTTTCCTAAAAACCAAGAAAATGAAATAGGTACATGGAAATCAATAAAATATTATTTTCATCCATTTTCATCCCTAAAACTCACCCACAATATCTAATAAAATATTATTTTCATCCAACAAGTCATCTCATATCATCTCCTAAAAATAAATCAAACACAAGAAATGTGTCACGTCTTCCAACTCATCTCATCTCATCTTTAAAAATCACTCACATCATCCAATAATATGGTGACAACTCATCACATCTCATTAAAAATTTATTTCCATCCATTTCCTCCAAAAAACAAGAAAATTGATTTCCTTAAGTATGAGTCACATCATCCAATAATATAATGACAACTCATCTCATCTCAACTATTTTCTTATTTTTAAGAATGAACCAAACACATGAAAAGAACCTATTATAGGAAATATGTTTCTTATAATTCATTTTCTTTTTTTTTAGCCAACCAAACAACCTCAAAACAAGTTTTCTTAAAAAATCATCCACGTCATCCAATAATATGGTAACAACTCATCTCATCTCATCTCATATTCTTTGATTTCCTTCTTTTTTTAGCCAACCAAACAAACTCAAAACAAGTTTTCTTAGAAATATGTTTTCTATTATTTGATTTCCTTCTTTTTTTAGCCAAACAAACAGCCCTTCATGTTAAGTCTAATTCAACTTATTTTTAGACTTAAAATAAGTTGAATTAGACTTAAAATAAGTTGAATTAGACATAACATGGTTTAAATTAGACTTAAAATGAATTAAATTAGACTTAACATGAATCAAACTGTACTTAATATGAATCAAATTAGATTTAACATAAAATTAGATTTAAAATATGTTAAATTAGACTTAACATGATTCATGTTAACTCTAATTCAACTATTTTTAGACATAAAACAAGTTGAATTAAACTTAACATGGTTTAAATTAGACTTAAAAAGAATTAAATCAGACTTAACATGAATCAAACTGGACCTAACATGATAGATCTGGAGAGAACGAAGAAGGAGGAGAAAATGAGGGTATTTTTAACTTTTATGTTTGTTTCTCTCTATTTGTGCTTAGCTGGCATGATAATGACATGGGAAAAGGGTTGCAGCACATGATGTGACATTCTTTAGGGCTGAACCACATGAGAAAAAAATGAAGGGGCTACAGTACATCAATATTTTACTTTTGGAGCATTGACACAATTTTCCCTAATAAATAACATCATAATTTTCTTTAATTAAGCTAAATAATTGATATCTCCTCCTATTAAGAAGTTTCCTGATCTCCTTCAATTTGGGGTTAATCTCAATCACTAACCTGAGATCTTGTCTCTTTCAATTGCATGCAAGTTTCGATAAAAATATTCCTATTTTGATTTATGATTTTTTTTTTTAATTTACAATCGTATTTTGAGCTTAGAAACTTTAAAAGCTATAGGTTCTCTGATTTGTCAAATATTCTTTTGTCCCAAATTTTGTTAACTTGTGATCTGGTTCTTAATCTTATTTTTACATAGTTGCAAATTAGAACTCTATCTGATTCAACAAAAAACCACAGTTCGGTAATGAAGCTGGATTTTTGTGATCAACCTCTCTGTTAATTTAATAATATCACATTTAGAAACTATTTTCACAAGCAAAACATGATAATTTAGTTAGGGTGAATTTCAAAAAAACCAGGATGTTTGGTCTATTTTAAGATAACTCCAAAAAAAATTCAGAAATATCATGTCACCCTCAAAACTTTTGAAATTTTCTGAATCTATGTTCAGATAATCCTTAATTTTGTAGGTCTTAAGTTAAATGACATCTCAAAACTTAAATACTGTATATTTTCCCCTACTTTGCACTTATAAAGTTAATTGACATCTCAAAACTTAAATACTATATAGTTTTCCCTCCTTTGCACTTATATACCCTCACTTGTTATTAGTAGCTCATATATATTCTAAACTTTGTAAAACTTGCACTTCTATACCCTCATTTGTTTTAGCAGCAATTATATACCCTAAAGTTTTTAAAAAATTGCACTTAAATACTATAAAATTTTGTAAAATTGGCACTTAAATACCTTAAAGTTTGTAATGCTAGAGTTAAATACCCTCAAATTTGCATACTTACTAGTATTTTAAGGCTACGTTTGAATATAATGGTGTTTTACTTGTTTCCATGGTGTTTTTGCCAAAAACAAAACTCCATGCGTTTGGAAATCATGGTATTTTTTGAGCTAAATCATCCTCAAACAAAAAACACAACACTTATTTCAAAACACAGTTTAGGTGTTTTAAGTTTGGTGTTTTGATTTTGAGTTTGAGAAGGTGTTAATATAATATCTAACATAATTTATTAAATGTAATTAATGTAGAGTTATTATCAACATGCTTATTATGTTATACTATACTATATAATTATAGTTAATTTAATATATTAGTAATATTTATTAAATAATATAAAAATATAATAAATAAAGTATCTTATATAATAATATAATAACATATTAAATATCAATATTTAATATATTAACAATATATTATATAATAAATAAATAATAATAAAATATAAACAAACTAATAAAAATAATAAAAAAGTTATTTATAATGAATAATAATATAATAATGATATAATAATATATTATACAATAGTATAATCACTATAATATTATTAACTTTTAATAAATAATTATAATAAATTATAATTATAAAATATTATATAATAGTATCATAATTAGTTAATAACATAACAATATAATAATAATATTATAATAACATATTGTGATAGTAAATGTAATATAATATATAAAAATATTAATATATTATGTAATAAATAATATAATTTTACTATAAAGTAAATATTTTTTAATAATAAAATAGTTTATTGCTAATAAATATTAATGTAAAAAATATATTCATAATATAATAATATTATTTATATCATAAATACTAATATATTATTGAAGACTATTAATAAACTTTAATATATTAAAAGCTATAATATTTTACATAATATTAAATATTTATAATATATTAATTTATTAATAACATACTAGTAATAACATAATATTAACATTATTAA